GGATCTCGTGTCGCCACCATTCAAACGTATGACGAGCATACACTTGCTGCTTTATCTCCGGGAGCTCTCAACACCTCTCCGCGGTCACCTTCTGTCACTCCTTCAAGCTGCGAGACTGTTCAGATGATCGACCCTTCCCTGACCAACAGAGAGCATCAGGCTCTCTCCACTCTGCTAACCACGTACAGTGATTCATTTGATTTTGACCGACGTGCCCTCACGAAGACAACGACTGTGAACCACAGCATTGACACCGGTACGGCAACTCCAGTGAGAAGTCGAGCTTACAGAGTTTCACCAGCGGAGCGCCGAACGATACAAGAAAACGTCGCTGACATGCTCAAGAAAAACGTAATCGAACCTTCATCCAGCCCTTGGTCGTCACCTGTAGTACTCGTGAAGAAAAAGGATGGTTCATGCCGATTTTGCGTTGACTACCGCCGCTTAAACAAACTCACCAAAACAGACGTCTACCCGTTACCTCGAATTGACGACACCTTAGACAGGCTTCAGGGCTCATCCTTTTTCTCTTCTATGAACCTACGCAGCGGCTACTGGCAAATACCTCTCTCTGATGACGCCAAACCAAAAACAGCATTTATCACTCCTGATGGCCTTTACCAATTCAACGTAATGCCGTTTGGGCTATGCAATGCCCCCGCGACATTTGAACGAATGATGGACAATTTGCTTATGGGCTTTACGTGGAACATTTGTTTATGCTGTCTGGACGACGTTGTTGTCGTTTCAGCTATGTTTGAGGAGCATATACGCCGACTGCGCCAAGTTCTCGATTGTTTCCGTGCAGCTAAACTACAGCTGAACTCCAAGAAGTGCAGGTTCGAAGCGCGGCAAATCAAAGTACTTGGCCACCTGGTCGGTGTCGACGGAATTCGCCCTGACCCCGACAAGATTCAAGCCGTCTCCGAATTTCCTGTGCCTAAGAACTTAAAAGACGTTCGCGGTTTTCTTGGCCTCTGCATCTATTTTCGAAAATTTATACCGGCATTTTCCAACCTTGCCGAACCGCTGAACGAGCTACTTCGAATGGGCCGAGCCTTCCACTGGGATCAACCCCAAGAAAACGCCTTCAACTCTCTTAAACGGGCCCTCATCTCTGACCCGATTCTTGGACATTTCTTAGAAGGCGCCGACACAGAATTACGAACCGATGCTAGCGGTCACGGATTAGGTGCTGTCCTGGCGCAAAACGTTGGTAACACAAAGCGAGTGATTGCATACGCAAGCCGAACTCTTACAAAATGCGGACGTAACTATGCAATCACCGAACGTGAGTGCTTGGCTGTCGTATGGGCCATTACCAAATTTCGTCCATATCTTTATGGAACCCACTTTCGAGTCGTCACAGATCACCACGCCCTTTGCTGGCTTACGAATCTTAAGGACCCATCTGGACGCCTTGCACGTTGGTCCCTCAAGATTCAGGACTACGACTTCAGCATTGTTCACAAGTCTGGAAAGCTACACCTCGATGCTGACGGCTTGTCTCGGTGTCCAGTGCCCAGTGAGCCTTCTGGACAGGAACCCCAGAGCTCCCCTTTTCTCTCTGCAGCTTTGGACACAATTGACGTAGCCGACGCTCAACTATCGGACCAACACTTAAAACCTATCATACATTACCTATTGGGAAACGCCACACGTTCCACGCGCCAACTGCAACGACATGCTACCCTTTTCACGCTTCACGAGTGTGTTCTTTATAGAAAAAACTATGAAGCACATGGGCGTCCGTGGCTGCTTGTTGTACCCCGAACACTCCAAAGAGATATAATACAAGCGCATCATGACGACCCGACTGCTGGTCACCTTGGATTTAGCAAGACATACTTCCGCATCCGTGCTCGCTATTTTTGGAACGGCATGTACCGCACCATTAACAGATACATCCGAACATGTCGCCTTTGCCAAACAAAGAAAAGCCGTACGACCAGGACACCCGGGCCTTTTCAATACATTACTCCACCGGATACTCCCTTTAAAAAAATTGGTATCGATTTTTTGGGTCCTTTTCCGCTTTCTGCCAACAACAACCGATGGGTTATTGTGGCCGTCGACTACCTGACGCGGTACGCTGAGACGACGTCTGTACCAAAGGCCACTGCCCAAGAAGTAGCGGATTTCTTTCTCCATAAGATCCTATTGCGTCATGGAGCACCACAAGTCATCATCAGTGATCGAGGCACTCCGTTCATCGCTCAGCTTCTTGAGGAGATTTTACGCCTCTTCAACACAGTTCACAAGTGGACGAGAGCGTACCACCCACAGACTAAGGGACTGACCGAACGCCTCAACAAGACATTATCACAAATGATATCTATGTATGTTGACGACCATCATACCAATTGGGACACCGTCATCCCTTATGTGACTTACGCATACAACACAGCACACCAGGCCACCACGGGCTTCTCCCCTTACTACCTTTTATACGCCCGCGAACCTCTTACAACTCTTGACACAGTTTTGCACTTTATCAACCACCCCCCAGTCAGTGGCTTTGCAGCCGACATCGTCTGCCGAGCCCAAGATGCTCGTCACCTTGCCCGCTTCGCCACGCCGAGAGTCACTCTTCCGTCACTTACGAAATTGGGGACATAGTTCTACTAGCCACACCGCTGCGTCAACCGGGACTATCTCAATAACTTCTCTCTAAGTACATTGGACCCTATCGTGTTGTTCGTCGCCTTTCCCCCACGAATTATGAAGTGTCACCGCTGTCGCCTCCACAGGATCATCGCTCGAAGACCACAGACATTGTTCACGTTGCCAGGATGAAGCCATTCTGCATTCCGGACAACCCCCATTGATCTGACCCATGTCAGCTCTTACCCGACCGGCGGGAAGTATTAGGGAGATAAAGACGAGGAACGGTTGGGTACGGGGGAACGTGCAAGCAGCTCGAGAGGCCGCGCTGTGTATGCTTAAGGGGTATTCACACGAGGGAGAAATCCCGGGGATTTCTCCCCGGCACGCGCATTCAACGACGAAAACGTCAGGCTTTGCGATGTGCAAAAGCCTCGCGTTTTTATCTCGTGATGCGCGCGTGCCGGGGAGAAATCCCCGGGATTTCTCCCTCGTGTGAATACCCCTTTACGAACGGTTCGCGATATCTGTCGCTCCCCCGCTGCCTCTTAATTTATCCCCATTTCCACCCTTGCAGTATATATATATATTATGTGCAAAAATCAATTAACCATTAAAGTCGTTCATATTTGAAGATTTTAGCCGCCGGGTGAACCACGACGTATACGCCACCAATTTTTCGTCACCAACACCAATACTACCCACATATGCCCGATGTTGCTCCTGGGCAACATCATAGTTGTCAGGCTGCTACTGAGCTTTCCCAAACTGTAAGTTCATTTTCACTGCACATACGTCTCTTTTAGTTAATCAGGAGGAGATTTCAATCAAGGATTTGTTTAAATATCACATCCTGCATTTCTTTTCATCGATGTTCACCCACCTGGTACAGTGACGGGACGAGGTCGCTCGCCGGTCCAGACACGTTTAGCGGAAGAGTAAAAGCGGATAAGTGCCGCCCTCTCTTTATGTTTTTAGAAGCTCAGGTCGCCCAGGTCTTGCGGTTGATGGCGCTAATTGCATAGATTCGCGGGTTTAGAGGAAGAAAAAAAAATTATGTTTGACTTGTTGCTCCTAGGCAACGCTGGGCATCAATATGTTAAAAGAAAACATCACCACAAACGTAGAAGTTGCTGTTCTTCAAAGAATTATAGCCGTCCGCGAAAAAGAACCAGGACGTTTTTGGGACGTTGGGCCCCTAATTTGGTAGGAATCGGTTTGAGATCCTTTATTTCCTAACTTTTCACCCAACCAGAGAGGTAATTGTCAAATGTTCAGCTTTAGGTGTTTACTACCAACTGTGTATTGGCTGATCCGAACTGCAGGTACGTGGGTCGCGGTCAACAGTCGATAGCTTCATGTCCTCCCAACAATGATTAAACGTAGCGTTTATAGCATATTCTAAACAACAAAACCTATCAAAATTAGTCGAAACGTACATCAAGCCTCAAGGTTGACTTATGCGCAATAGTGATATGAAAAATACCTTTTGATTTTTTACTTGTTTGTAAGATTATTCTACAGAAAAAAAAATATACAGAAACCTTTATTCTTTAAGTCCTAAAATGCATGAAATACAGTATTTAAGGTGCCATTGTTTAAAATATTTAGACTTTAAACCGTCGTTTCGGGGAGTAAAGAACCTTTATATTTATCAAATTCCCCGATACTTTGAGCGGGGTGTCTAAATTGGTGTAGAGGGAAATTTTCCCGCTAAATTTAGCAGGTAACCTGAATTGGTGTATAGGCCCCATGACGTCACGTCACGTGACATAATTTAATCATTGACTTGTATCGGGTTCAACTGGGATCCGTAGGCTGGTGCTTTGCTTCTGCTTTGTATTTTTAATGCAATAGCTTAGTATGGGAACCCTGCAAGGACCTTACTTGCTCGTGTTGGCGTTGGTCGCGCCGAAGCAAGGCCACGGGAGAAAGCGTCAGCAGCGGAACGCAGGCTCAGTTGCTGGCACTTTGTTGGCTGTTGGTATGACCTCAGAGCGCGCGCGATTGGGGAAAGGAGGAGGAGCGCGGTGAAAACGAGAGAGAAGTGTCAGCGCACCGCTTACAGGCCCTCTTCTCCCTGACCCCGCCCTCGCCCCCAACACACTCCGCGCGCAGAGAAGGTAGGAAGTACGCGTTAAAGTTATTGCACCTTCACCGCAGCCACGTAATCTTTTTCTCCACTCATAAAATTGACGTACGCTTATGAGTTCTTAATTGTGTACTTAATTGGGTTACTTTCATGATTCTGGGCCCGACTTCCCGCGGACAAATCGGCTCCAATCAACGGTGGCTCATATATTTTCGACTTGCATTTTGTTCGATTTTTTAGTCATCTATGATGCACGTTTGAAGTGATTGATTATGAACCCACCAATCTCTCACCTCGAATACAGATGGGGCGGCCTGTGGAGACGACGTACGTTGTGCTAGACTACGAGAACTTTAGCCTCCGCCAACTGTACTCCTGGGAAGGTGGGTCCGGAATCCCAACACTGACGCGAGTGCGCTCACGCGCTTCCTCTCGTTCACCACAGTTATGACGATGTTCACGGACATGTTGAGTGTCTACGAGGCCCACTACCCGGAGATTCTAGAGAAGGCCCTGGTCATCAACGGTAAGTCATTAGACGACATTGGACCATGTAACAGTTCCAACTTTCTTCCATGTCTTCCACAGTATCGCGAAGGTCACGACATAAGTCGGCACTGTGGATTCGAGGAGATAGCCCAATATCAGGGTTGGGCAGTATCGCGATACAAATGTATCGCGATAGTATTCAATAGATACATTTCGTATCTGTATTTCTGTATCGCGATACATTTTTTTCACCAGTATCTGTATATCTGTATCGAAATACATTTGGAATGGAGATACATTCAGGATGAAATGTATTTCGTTACATATCGTAAGAAAGACTCCCAGCTCCCACCTGTGCCGGCAATATCAGGTAGCAATCCACGACGGTCTATGTTTGGATTATGCTACTCGAAACTTGAAGACTGCAATCCATGCGTCGGTGGCGAAGGGTCGGCAGGAAGGACCGTCACAAAAGGGATGCCATCGTATCGTTTTTTCAACCCTAACGGGAGATAAGACAGGGGTTCCAGGATGCTTCAGGTGGTCCACTATTTTCGAAAATTCCAAATTACACTGTCTGCACGATCTTCAACAAAATCACCTACAACGAAAGTGCGTACTGCTCTTTCATGCAGCAGCGTGGGTAAAGTTTCATGTTTCATAAAGTTACCGACAGATAAAGAATACTAGTTCATTCCATGGTGATGTCATGTTGACAGGGGCGTCCTTATTTAACAGGAGCGTGGTGGGATTTGATGGAATTTAGGGTGACAGAATTTATTTAGAGGTCGAAGTCATATCGTATCACTCGTCAGACGGACAGAATGTCAGGGAAGGAACCGTGGCCAATCCTTCATGGAACGTTTGTTGAGCCCAAAGAAGACTCCTCTTCGTTCGAAACCACTACCTTTAGGTGAAGTGCCAAGCCTACGGGAAAGTAATTTCGGGATCAAAAACTACCATTTCAAACTTCACCTCAGTTGTCGTCTCAAAATATTTGAAAAATATATTGCAGTATCAGTATTTCTATATTTGTATTTCTTCCCTCCCTAAATGTATTCCTGTATTTTTATTTCCAAAGACATTTTGTCTCTATTTAATATCTACTTCCGATACGTATCGCGGTACATTTTAACAGATATATTTTAGTATCAGTATTTTAGCTAATATTTCAATGTATCCCAGCATTTGTATTTTCAAATAGATTTCTGAGTATTCCTGCCCAACCCTGAAAAATATTATATTATGTCCTCCGATATTTACTCCAATTAATTTGAGCACGAGTCATATATTCCGCGAAGATCCAAAAGCCGCCACCCCTCACTTTGTAAACAGTGGCGCCAGCGACGCTACTCAAAGTTTACGAACATCCGAAAATAGCACTCCTCGTGTTACGAATACTGTCACGACTGAAAAACAGAAACTTTAATAATAAGACTTAGAATTAACGTCTAATGCCGCGAGCTTGTGCCGAGAAACATAAAGTAACAAATACCGTACATAATTTGACGACGATGACGGAAGGACGACGTCCTCAAGCAGCCATGCGAAGCTCCTTCTGTAAGCGCTTGGGTGTCTAGAATTTTCCGGGCTCAAACAAACAAGACTCCCGAGTCATCTGGAATATTTCATGCAAACTAAAGGAAGATAAAACGGATAAGCGCTGGCGGGGACCAAACCACAGCCAGCGGCGTGGGAGTCAAGCACCGTGCTGACTCAGCCATTCGCACGCGGCTTTATGCCCATATTGAAAAAAAAACGCATCACCCGAATGCAACGCAAAATTAGACTGGCAACTGAAATCAGGAAAAGAGCAAACTATGAGGTCGCCTAAAACGCAGATTTTCACAGTCCTATCCAGCATAGTTCAGTTCGAATCGGACGACGGGAATCACCTTCGGGTCGCAGAGGGCGACGTGACCGTGTTCATGTTACGTCGGGCAGCGGCTTGCGACGATGAATTTGTGTTTAGATCCAAACTGGGTAGCCGGGCTGTAACGGGGCGTCGTGACGACAAAGATTGTACTGGCCATCGTCAGCAAGTGTGCGGCTTGAATCAAAATGCGGCCGAGCTGGCGGACTTCCTTCGCTCGTTGACTGACGAACCGAGCGTTGTCGTCCTGCTCGTCTTCGTGATCAACATCCCACAAGTTGTCCGTATCGTCGACGGGTTCGTAAATAAGAAAGTCATCGAGGTTGTAGTCGGGGTTGTCGTTGAAGTAATCGTCCGGGTCGTTCTTAAGTCGCTGTCGAATCCGTCGTCAGGGTTGCCGTCGAAGCCGTAGTCGGGATCGTCGTCGATGTCGTAGTTCGAGTCGTCACCTCTGTCATCATCACAGTCGTCAAGGTTGAAGACACTTTGTCGTCGAGGCTGTAGTCGGGTTGGTTGTTGACGTCGTAAATGGGATTTGTATTTGGAGTAGTCCGTTTCATCGTCGCCGTCGTGATCGAAGTCGTCATCATGTTATCGTGGAAGTCGTATCAAAGGTCTTTGTCATGTACATAGTCCGGGTCGTTTTCGAAGCCATAGTTGAGCTCGTCGTTGATGTCGCAGTTGGAGTCATCCTCGAATGTTTCCGGGGACGCCGCCTTCACTGTCGTCGTCTTCGGAGTTATCGTGTTCACGGGTGGTACGCATCGTGGGCATAGATTACGTTAACCGGCACCTCCACCAAAATGCCACGAATTAAAAATACAAACTTGATTAATACAACTTAAAATGAACGTTTAATGCGATGAACTTGTGACGAGAAACGCATTGTAAAAACTTTGACGGCAATGAATGGACGACTGACTCAAGCAGCCATGCAAAGTCCCTTTTGTGAGCGCGTTTCCGCGCTCAAACAAACGAGATTCTCAAGTCATCTAGAACATTCCAGTCATGCAAACAAAACAACGATAAAAAAGACAAGCGCTGACGAGAATTAGACCCCCGTCAGCCGCGTGGGGGTTGAGCACGCTGCTGACTCATCTATACGGAAGTGGCAATATCCGCAAGATCCAGAAGCCACTGCCTCTCAAGCATATCACATAGCTCATCGTTTTTAAGGGCCTGTAGATTATTAAAAAGACGAAAGCTTCAATGAAGTTAAAAAAGGACTGTCAAAGCGCTTAGCTTTTTTTTTTTTTTTTTTTTTTACACTAATAAGCTTTTTGATATTCCAATCACTTGGTTTCTAATTAGTTACCTCGTACTACGCCAGTTCCGTTTCGAAATGCAGTATCGACTGCACAGCTCACTTTCGATATTCATATATTTACTCCAAACGCGTAGCAAGGTGTGTAATATCTTCTATTAAACACTTGTCACCGAAACGTGCTCCCATTAGTCTATTTTAATATTCAAATAAATCCCGGGACACCAAACCAGATTTTGTTACTGCTTCAGCTGGTACCAAAAGAGCCATGTATCTTCATGGCTATTTTAGATATGTTCAGGCCATTGGCCTGAACATATATAAAATTACATTACTGTTTGTTTGTTTTGTGTGTGTGTGTTTTTTTTAATAAAGCTTCCGGAGACTATTAGGGAAAATGTACGTTCAATAGACCTTTCCATAAAAGGGCTCCTGTCCGGTTCCATTTTCATTGTTCGTGCGAATGGCGCGTGACTTGCTTCCTTTCTGAAGAGGCGAGCATGAACGTGTTGGGCTAAGAAGATCGCACGCTGGGTTGAGGACTTGTAAATATTGGAATGGAGTATATAAATAAACACCGACATCACCTAAGTATGCATGTTGAAATGTAAGGTTGGGCTTTGCGCTTGCACTGCTGGAATTGTATGCCATGATTGGTGTGAAAGATGTGGCGTGTTTCTCGCAGCGCCCAGCTTTTTCCCGCTGGTCTGGAGGATCGTGCGACCCTTTCTATCGCAGAGAACAGTGGACAAGGTACTTATTTTTGCAAAGGGTGAGTGTGTTGTTCTCGATAGTTTCATTGTGGAAACGATGCTCCCATTTATCTGTGAGAACAACTCTTACTATTACTGTTAATAGTACTGTTAGTGTTAATATTACTATTACGTGACGGTCACTCCTAATTATCGACGCTGGGATGCAGTGTTTACTTCAAGTAAATTGTCTAAACCACTCTTTTTTCTGTTTTCTCCTTCGAGGTCACGGTGTTGAATTTTTAATGATTTGTGTTGGGGAGGGAGCAATAAAAAGCTACCATAAATGTACAACTAAATAGCTACAAAATAATAGAGCGAGTGTCAGGAACCCTTTTGATTCTAGATTCATGTAGTTTATTTCGAACAACTTATTTCCATGTTTGTTTGTTTTTTTGAAACCCTGCTTCCTTGAAATAGAGAATGGTGATCGTCACGAGGAAACGGACTGTGCAGTATCAAACAAAAACAAAACTTTCTGTAAAGCCCCTTTTTTATTGCTTTAAATCTTGGAACTAGAGTACTAACAAATTCTTTTTTCCCTATATGTCACTTTTGAAACAAATGTATAGAAAACGGATGGGCACATGTGTTTCACGTCAAACGTGTAGCGTCTACGCTCTCGGCGCTGTTCATCGGTTAGGTCAGCGACTGGCTTAACACGTGGTATGTACACTGAAAAGGCATTCCTGGAATAAAGATACCGGCGCTAACCCGGGGTTTAAAAACGTGTGGCAAAGGGTCAAGTTGCTATCTGCCGGACGCAGAGCGGATGCCTCGCAGGGCTTTACCGCTAAATGGCACCTCAAATCACGGCGATATGTCGTGACATGAAAATCACTCGCTTAATAGTCTAAATGGTCTGGGTTCCACTCTGGCCTGGCGCAAACGCCTTTTTACTCCGATGGCCTCTCCCCCCTCTCCCCACCCCCCCTTACATGCACACGTCAAACGCTTTAAAACGCGGAACGACATTGTCCGGCGTTTCGCTTTTGAAATCGAACGCTTTCGACGAGTGCAATGAAGACAGAGGGACAAAGAGCTAGATCGGAATCTGCCCACTAATCATTTTTACAACCAGAGCTCGGCGTTCTCACATTGCCCGCGAGCTTTCGTCTTCTCTTCTCCCTCGTCCTCTCCCCGCAGTGACTTGATGACGCAAAAAGTAGACTTCCTATTGTGAGTCGACTCGACACTTTCTATATTCATTTTAAGCCTGCTGGTTTATCTACGTCATAATTACCGGACGCCTCAAAAATAACAGCGCAGCGTAGGGAATCCACACAAACACACGTCATCACAGGTCTCAAAAACAATCACACTTAGGGACACCTTCAAAGCAGACAAGACACTCACACAGTGCTGACTCACAACTCAATCTCTATTTTTGCACTTCTTTTTCTACTACGCCTTTTCGATACATTCATGAAAGTTTACTTCTTTTTCTTCTACATCCCATTAAATGATACTCATGTGAGCTAATAAGATAAGCTACTGAGATAAGCTAATTCTTTTCCTGATAAAGTGAGCGACAGAGTGCTTACACATTTGTCGTCATCCCTGGCAATATTTTCTGCTTCCACTATCTCTCTAGTCAGTTGGCTACCACTTCTGCCCAGCACTGTACACTTATCTATAGTCCGTTGCAACCTAAGAACGAAGGGCGAGGGTAAGACGGGCCGGGGAGGAGGAAGCAGACGAAACGCTGGAGAAGAGAGAAGCAAGCCTCCTTCTCTCTTTAGCGTTCCGTCTGCTTCCTCCTCCCCGACCCGTCTTACCCTCGCCCTTCGTTCTTAGGTTCGTTCTTAGGTTGCAACGGACTATGGATGGTGCCGCACATCCGCAATCACGGCAGTGTGGGCCTAAATGTCCTGAGTTGGTTTTGCTTATATTGTTGCTGTGTTCCCGGAGTCTATCGTTTAAACATCTCCCAGTCTGGCCGATATATCGTTTCCCACAGGAGAGGGGAAAGGAATACACTATCCCTTCTGTGCAAGGAACGAAACTGGTCCGGTGTATTTTTGTGCAGCTCGCTGGATGTTGTGGAGGATTGTTCACTTTTTTTTATCAGCTGGAAAGCTTGTTTGGAGCGGAGAAGATGACGTTGATGTTTACCCTGTTTGCCACTTTTTTAACACCATGAGAGACATTGTGGATGTAAGGCACAACTATGAGTCTAGTTGACCTGTTTATTGGTTTTCGTCTGACGACCATCTTTCTCTGTTCTTTAAAAAGGTTCTCTGCCACTGATGTTAATAAGGAAGTGGGATATCCTGCTGATGACAGGCGACAAATTTGTGCACAGAAGCTTGTCTTTATCAGATGTTTGCACGATTTTGTAACTCAGTTTTTAAGGCAAAGTATTACGATGCTCTTCTTCACCAGCTTAGAGTGTGCAGAATTGAAGTTAAGGAGCGGCTTGTTTCCTTGCGGCTCCTACAACCAGCATACGTGAAACGTCAATAAAAATATTCGTAAATCCAGGAATCTAATGGACCTTTCAACGGGAAGCTCGTGCGTGACCTCCTACGGATTCATGCACTCTTCGAAGGTTGGAAGAACTTTGGCCCTCGTGGTGGGAAGCTTCCTGCTGTCGACATCAAGGAAGATGATATAATCGTCTACGTAACGAGGATTGTTCACGACTTCTAGGGAGTCTAAGCTTCTTTGCAGCCACAAGCCATGAGGAAACAAGCCGCTGCTTAACTTCAATTCTGCACACTCCGAGTTGGTGAAGGGGGGGGGGGGGGGGGGGGGGGGGCGGCATCGCCAAACTTTGCCTTAAAAACTCACTTACAAAATAGTGCAAACATCTGATAAAAACAAGCTTCTGAGCACGAATTTGTCGCCTCTCATCAGGAGAATATCCCATTTCCTAATTAACACCAGTGGCAGAGAACCTTTTTAAAGAACAGAGAAAAGATGTCATCAGACGAAAACCAAGAGATAGGTCAACTGGACCCATAGTTGTTCCTTACATCCACAACGTCTCCCATGGTCTTACAAAAGTGGCAAACAGGGTCAACATCGACGTCATCTTCTCGGCTCCAAACAGGCATTCCAGCTTATGCAAAAAAGTGAACAATCTTCCACAACATCCAGCGAGCTGCACAAAAAAACACCGGACCAGTTTCGTTCCTTGCACAGAAGGGGTAGTGTATTCCTTTCCCCTCTCCTGTGAGAAACGATACATCGGCCAGACTGGGAGATGTTTAAACGATAGACTCCGGGAACACTGCAACAATATAAGCAGAACCAGCTCAGGACATTTAGGCCCACACTGCCGTGATTGCGGATGAGCGGCACCATCCATAGTCCGTTGCAACCTAAGAACGAAGGGCGAGGGTAAGACGGGTCGGGGTGGAGGAAGCAGACGGAACGCTAAAGAGAGAAGGAGGCTTCCTTCTCTCTTCTCCAGCGTTCCGTCTGCTTCCTCCTTCCCGGCCCGTCTTACCCTCGCCCTTCGTTCTTAGGTTGCAACGGACTATACACTCCGTGTGGGAACTATAGGGGGCGCTTTGAAAAACGCGCGCAGCGCCGCTAGCGGAGGAGCTGGCGTTCGACCGTGAGGCGCGTTCAGCAGCCTGCGGCGCCTTTTTGCATGCCAAGCTGTGGCGGCGGAAGCGCGCACGGACGGAACTTTTGCTTTTTGAGCCAATAAGTTGAGGGTGACGTTGCATGAGTGCTGGGGCAGACCTAAGAAGGGCATTTAGCTGTTCTCCACTTCTTATATATTGAGTTTGAGTCGTTAATAGGGGTAATTTCTCTAGTTGCGCCCAAAAAAGGAGTTGGAGCAATTTTTTGAAAAGCAAGACGGCCGCCACCATAATTGCTTTGAGTGGGAAATTTATTTCGCTCGTCGCTGTAAACCTAGGACTGCTGGAACGATGATATTTGGAGGCGAGTGAGATGTACACTAAGTTTCTGCACGAAGTGTGTGAAAGTTGTTTCTAACGAATAAAGAAATAAAGCTGTACGGTATATCCAATATTGGACCCAAAATGTTGTGTTATAGCGGGCTGTGCAAAGTGCAGATTTGGGCACACAGGTGCTTGGACTGGACAGTAACATGACACAGCACTTATTATACAAAAAGAAAAAAAAAGTAGCATAGGGAAACCAGGTGAACATTTGTTTTGGGCGGCGTAACTCAATGGGAACCGGTTTTGACCATGAAAAGGCTGTCAAGATAATACCACTGGTCGGGGGAGGTGGAGACTTTAGAGGTAGGAAGGGACTAGTGGACTGTACTTCAAATTGAAACAACTTTACGAAAGGTAGTTCCAAGGCCGAGAAAACAAAGTTGTCGGCCAACACACGGTTTGGCCGCCAAGGACTTTTGCGGTCAGCTGTTGTGTAATAACCTGTTGTGCGAGGTGCTGATTTTCGGCCCACAGGTACTTTGACATGACCGTCCCTTGGCATAACATTTATTATAACAAAAATAGTTGGCATAGCGAAACCAGGTGGAAATTTAGTTTGGGCGGCGTAACTCAATGGGAACTTTGACCGTCAAAGGCTGTCAGAAAATACCACTCATCGTGGGAGGTGCACACTTTACAGGTAGGAAGGGACCAGTGGACGGTACTTCCAGTTCGAACCACTTTGCGATAGCTGGCTCTTAGCCGAGAAAAAAAAATTGTTGTCTACAGAACTCGGGGTGTCAGTGTTTCCACGTCCAAAAGGAGGCTGATCAAGAAAGAAAGCACACCACATAAACTTCCATACGCAAACGCCGATTCTCCAGTGATTCCGAGTTTCATGGTTGTTTTCTTTAGATTTATATTTGTCACTTTTTTTACCGTTCGAATCTTTCTTCATGAAGTATAGATTGCGTGCCATATTTGTCCGGAATTATCATCGACTCGTACGATGGGGACGAAACTTCTTTGGATGGCATTCCTCCAACGAAATTGGCACTGCATACCCGCGAGTGTGGGATGGCATTTCAGTTCGTCCCATCGGCGCTGACACATGTAGGCGTTACTGGTACGAAAACAAACGCAGAGCGCAAAGCGGCAGTGTAGAATATGTCAGCCGTGTCGACACAGTGGCAGACATGATCGGGACACCAAATTTCTCGCGTCGTATGGCACGGCTCCATCGTTGTCGCTGTCCCACAAAACATCGGCGAGGTGAAAAACTGTGAAACTTTGTCTCCACGAGATACGACGCATAACTATTGAAGCACTTAATGACGCAGCACAGGCTGCGTCATTAAGCTGTGAACCCAGCGCAACAGCACCACTCCGACTTCAATGCGTACCAACGTACGCCGGCGTGGTTTCGGTTTCGTTTTCTCTGGGGTGCTCACTGCCTACCTTCGGTACCGGCCGCGCGGCGGCGCGCCAGTCGCGTCGCACGGAGTGTATAGATAAGTGTACAGTGCTGGGCAGAAGTGGTAGCCAACTGACTAGAGAGATAGTGGAAGCAGAAAATATTGCCAGGGATGACGACCAATATGTAAGCACTCCATCGCTCACTTTATCGGGAAAAGCATTAGCTTGTTTTAGTAGCTTATCTTATTAGCTCACATGAGTCTCATTTAATGGGATGTAGAAGAAAAAAAAGCCAACTTTCATGAATGTATCAAAAAGGCGTAGTAGAAAAAGAAGTCCAAAAATAGAGATTGAGTTGTGAGTTAGCGCTACGTGAGTGTCTTCTCTGCTTTGAATGTGTCCCTAAGTGTGATTGTTTTTGAGACCTGTGGTGGCGTGTGTTTGTGTACATTCCCTACTTGCGCTGTTATTTTTGAGACATGGATAACCAACCAGCCCAAGTAGCCATTTTGTCCAGCTAACGGACGCCAGCGCGGGTCACTGGCTGAACCCGAACGCTGAGTCAGCTTTCGAATGGCACTCATGTTCAATCAGGTAGAACGCTAGTCCCTACCGAACGCTGACGCGGCACTATTCCACCACTGGCCCCTTGCAGATGGCTGGCGAGAAATAATGCGGGACACCTTCGAACCCGAGAGGCTCCCCAAGCACTGGGGCGGTGACATGCTGGGTCCGGACGGAGATCCGCGCTGCACGGACAAGGTACGTTCAGAGCATTACGCCGAGGTCACAGCTGCTGAAGCCACACTCACACTGCCCATCCCTCGTGCAAAACACGTGGCTTTTGCCGTACACATGATTACAGAAATATCTGCGGACAGGCCTCAAGCAGCTTCCAAGCATGTTTCATGCGTCAAACATGTCTAAAGACAGGTTTTCTTGTTCTTGTGGTCAATGTAACAGGACCGTCATACAAGAAAACAAAATGGATGAGACAGTGTCTTTCATGGAGGTAGGAAGCTTCTGGAGGCGACATGTGTGTCACCTCCGGAAGCTTTTCAACTCGTGTCTTCAGAATGACTTTTATAAGGCAAGCAGTGTGACCGCCGATTTACAAATCATACAAAAGACAATTGCAATTACAATTTCGAAGTCAGAGCTAAGAATAAAGAAAATAAACTGTTTTTCTCTACCTGCACCACCTGACGATATAACAGGTTTAATCCAATTTAAAATTAATAATGTGGGCCGTATTTAGCCAAAAGTGTTTTTAGTTAGCAGACACTGGCATGTTTTTTTGTTTTGTTTCTACGCCATCTCAACTAGGGTTGGGCGTCGACTAAAAGTTTTAACCCGATTAATCGCCACACATTAATCGATTAATTCATCGATTAATCGGTTTCGTTCATTCCTATGCTTAAAGAGTTTGTTTTGCTTTGTTTTGTTTTTTTATGTCGAAATTAAAGAGTTTTCCTCTGCTAAATGTGTAATAAACCACGCTGTACAATTTCCCATTTTATATCAACCTTGACATGTGGTTGAGGACAGTCTGAATACACCCACACTGACAAATTATTACTTCAGCCGCAGAGGCCAAGAGGTTCGTTGACATTCTCCGGCAATAGCGAACTCTTTTCATTGTTCACGATAGTTTCTGCTGCCCTAGACGGACACTAGGACGGTGTTGAAGTGGCCGGGGACACGTATAACCTTTTTACGTCTTTCTAGTCACAAATCGCGACCCTACAGTTTATTTTTACCGGATTAAGCGATTAACATTTATCCGATTAAGAGGTAAAAATACTAATCGCGATTGATGCATTAATTCATTAATCGGTAGATGAATCGATCAAAGGCCAAGACCTAATTTCAACCTTTGTTTACACTACCGTTTGTTACGGTTTCTAAAAAGAAAAATATATTGTATCGGTAATGAGATAACAAACTAAAAACTCTCTCAGTTATTCTGAAGGGCAGCTTATTCAGATCCAAATAACGCTGTGTAAAGAGGTTAAAGTTAATTGGCTATACAAAGGAGTGGCAAATTTGCTGGTTTACTGTTTAATCACCCTCCAGGGGAACCTGAAGGCGTCTCTGTTGTAAATGGCCGATTTGGCCACTGCCGTAGAATTGCTAACCTGGAGTATGTAACGTGCTAGACTAAGTACTGAACATACGAGCGCACGCCGGTGCAATGCTCACGCAGATCGATATCGCCAGGAGTGTGGATGAACCTCAGGTTAAGGCAAATTCTGCAATCAATAGTCGACGCGCTTCTGATTATTGGGAGTTCTCCCAGTCTTCTCTTAGCAAGCAGGCTTGAAGGAGGCCATCCGAATAGGCAATCCAGGAGCGGTTTGCGTAGGGCTTTGCAAACATCAATTCTCTTGAATGAGCATGCAGGGCTGCCCGTTCTGGAGGAACACCGGAGAACTGTCTAACCGAAGACGCAAGGGTGAATATCATATTGTTTAGATTGCATTAATGCTGCTTGTGATATCTGATATGTTTGACCCATACGAAGCTTGCTAAAATGGCGCCTTTATTGGACGCCATGGCAGTGTGCATTATTGATTAGCGCAATCGGTATTCCGATTCTTTCGCACCAGGGCTTTTTTCCTCACAAACCATGACCTACGCCGCTTGCTAATCGTACGCCTGACTCACAGCTAGAGCTATTCACTTTGCCCAATCTTTGGCTTGCCCACTAAAGTTGGCAAGACGTCAAAGATGGTGCAGACCAGAAACATGTCTACGCTAGTTTACTGCTTTCGGAAGTCCCCCATTGCTTCAAAAGATTTGCGGCAGCGTTCTGAGGCGCTCGATGCATTGTTCGATGAACTGTTAAGCTTCTCGCAATTCTTCAATTCCCTCATCGTTTCTTCTACACTACAACTATTACAAATACAAATTCAAGATTTTTTTATGACATCAAGCTAAGGATATTCTCCCAAGTCGTTAGACCTTTCCTCTTTTATGAGCTTTGACAAGCTACATCATTCTCTGCGGGATTCTCCTTGGCTCCCTATCAACTAACCATCAAGGCCTGCCTTGCAGGTGTGCCCAGGTGGCCAGGTGCCGAAGTGCCCGCAGATGGGCCCGGACGCTTTCAGTCAGGTCATCTCGAGTCGGGACGCCTGGGAGCTGCGCGTGCCCGTCCAACAGTCGCAGAGCTTACTGCGGTGGAACTTCAATGTGCAGCGAGGGGATCTGGCCTTCGACCTGCGCTACCTGCAGTCTAAGGACGACAAAAAACCAGAGGCCTCCGACGAGCCGCTGACGAAGCCGCAACGTCTCACAGGACAGCAGGAAGGCAGCCTCCGCTGCGACAAACCGGGCACATGTGAGTGTGCTGCTAGTGAGATACCGGATGTTTATATTGTGCGCACGCACCTTGAAGCTGGAGTCGCAAAAAAAAGCGGGTCCGTTCGTTTAGACAATATGATATACCTAAATTTGAGAATAATATTTAATCGGCACGGGCTGTTCAACAGCCAGTTCAATGGGAACTCAGGTCGCCTTCGTGTGACGAGTCTGCTCACGTGGAGCACACCAACTTGATAGGTGCTCTCGCTTCACGATCGTTCGCGTGAGATGTTTTTACTATATGAGTTCGCGCTAAAGCTAGCCGAACGTTAAACTTACGCTGCTTGATTAAGTGAGTGTGAACACAATATCGGCGCCTCCTTGGTTTTCACTCATCAGTGTGGCTTTGAGTAGTTACGTTTCCACGCCGAATGTTTTGCCCTACACTATACCTTTCCAAAACACGCAATTTTAGCGACACCCTCTTAGCTTTCAAAGACATCATTTATTATTTATTAAATATAATACTAATAGTCGATTTCTAGACAAAAAAGAATTGGTGAACAAACGAATAGACTAACCGAGATTATGTGCTGTAAAGTGAAGCCTTGACATCGCCATACTCTCACGTTTTCGGGCGCCCGTGGCGCTGGTCTCGTTCGTAGACGTGCTGCGTTTCGACAACTCCTTCAGCTGGCTGACCAGCAAGAACCTGACGTACACCGTGGAGGTTCAGCCACCGGACGAAACCCCCTGAAGAAACTCGGTACCACCCCACCAGACGGCACGTCGCTTGACGTACACGTGACGGACCACGGACGCCACACACAACCGTAGTCACCAAGGCAGCGCCCGCTGCATCCATGGACACACTTCCAATGCGCTCGAAGAATGCTTTGTTTCGTAAACGTTGTAATCCAGAGCTTTTTTTGACTGGATAGAAGCGCTGAACGACAGGGACAAAGTGAAGGTACCAACAACACGGAGTGTACTCGCATCGCAACTGAAAGTTTCTTAGAAAACACACTAAGTTAAAGGTGTACTCCAGAGACTTTGTTTACGGTCGCTCGCTGATTGGCTTTAAAATTCGCTCAACACACAGATAGACATGGGCGTACCGGTTCCCTAAGTATTATGTAAATATTTTAAAAAATCGCAAAATTCTTGATATTTTCTTATTTCGTTTTTTATCGTTTTTTTTTTTTTTTTTTTTTTTTCCAAACCGAAACCCTTACTAGCAACACTGAAGTGTGACGACAGAGATGGTACATAGTGGGCAGTAAACCACATTCCCAAGTGAATACAAGACGTTTGATGGTGGGAAAAGAATGCTTGGAAGCCCATTTACTAAGAAGCACTAAAAAACGCTCGACGTAATCTGTTTAAGACTACCTACGCAACCTTAAAATATTTACCGTTTGTGACGCCACGCCAATGGAGAGCGCTTGGAATTTTGAAGGCTGGCTTCGGCATCATCTTCATTTCCAGTTTTCTCGATAGCTATTGTGAATTTCGAGACAATAAGTACCTTACCGTGAAAACTCAAGGCCGGGTATTCCAAAAATGCAATTTCTTTGGGTATCTCAAAAAACGGCCGGAGGACCCCTTTGAATACCCTACAAAAACCACGACACTTTGGGCCACCCCACAGTCTTTCTAAAAATAACATTTTCTGATCTAACGGCCACAGAGGCTCACAAGTGTGAGCCGTCTGTGGCCCCATTAGACCAGGAAATGTTATTTGTTTGGGAGATAGAGACAGAGAGAGTTGGGTGCTGAAGTGACGTAGTTTTATTAAGGTATTTAAAGGGCAATCGATCATAAAGCAAACCAAAATAAATTGCTGGTATCACTTCAGTGGCAGGAAATATGATTACAACCGAAATATTACCTCAAAGTGAAGCCGCGTACTCCACTCAAAGCGATTTAAAGATGCGACCAGCTGATTTTTTGTGAACGGCTTGCGGGTTAGCTTTTAGTCAAGGAACACTGGCGCAGCGCCCCCGTCAAGTCACGTCGCGGGTGGGCGGTGGTTGATTTCGCACGTGTACCGCGTACCGCAGCAGCACGGTGACGTCACGTCACGTCGCGGCCGGATGGATGGATGGATGGTAATGGATATATCCATCGTAACGGGAAGTAGCTTGCGCCACGTACCCTAACATTTTGTCGTTCCTTCATTTTTTTTTTTTAATTTGTATAAATTTGGTTTTAACAACACCGGCTGATCATCAGTTTTGCCACCCCTCTAGTAGAGCATTTCTGTTTTGCCGTAGGCGCCCTAAACCAAACTTTGAGCAGTGATATTTATAAAACTATACACAATATCTAGAAGGGAAAAAAGTTGTACCTTGTAATTCAGGGACACTGCTTTAATTCAAAAAACGGTAGTGACCAGAGGTGCCCTTTAAGTCAGTGTGTTTCTTAATAAACTTTCAGTTTCGATTGCGCTCCGTGTTGCGCTTAACTTCTTCACTTTGTCCCTGTCCTTCGGTGTTTCTATCCAGTCATAAACCAACTAGCCCAACTCAACCTTTTGTTCCAGAGTTCTTGTTGTCCAATCAAGGCGGCTATCTTCCGAAGGATATTTTATTCCGCAGTAAAAGGAATTGCACTCTTGGACTGATGGCGATTTAGATCTATTTTCAGCCCTTCTTTTATTCGTGCCGTATAGACTACTACTCTAAAAGAAAAAAACTGGATGTATTTTAAATGAGTAGCATATGAAGGGCCAGCTCCTAACGCTTTCGTGCGCGAGTCTGAAATAGCAGCCTCATTAGGGTCTGCACTAGTCGGCTGCATGTTATCCGGGCAATCGGCGACTTCTCTTGCAGCGGAGACTTTCTCTGTGTGCGCCAACAGCAAAGCGGACTACACGCACTAAGAAGGCTATAGGTCGCGTGCTTCGCTTACCACCTAAGCGACGCAGGAGAGAACATATAGTGGGCGCCGCAAGGGAAAGACGGAAGGATGGCTACACAAGGCCTCCCACACCTCAGGCGGTGTGGGCTCTCTTGAGAAGTGCGACTGACGTAAAATTGGCCGGAAAGGATTATCTTTTTTTTTTTTTTTTTACGAGATAACAATTTTGCTAGAGCTTCGCAGTGTAAAGCGCAAACCGCATGGCGCGTTTTTGCTCGCGATTCAGGCGTGTCGGCGTCAAACTGACGTCATTTCCTGCGCGCGGGCGCGCTTTTTCGCGGGAGCGTTGCTTTCTAGCCGACCCAGAACAAGCCGCGCGCGCCGAGGCGTCAAAACGCCTCTCGCCCAATGAGGGTCGGTCGCACTATCACGTGATCCTGCTTAGTGCGCTGTTTCGTATTCGGCACATTTCAAAGTGTTCCAAAGCATTTTTATTTTCCATATAAAAATTGTAAAGGTGTTTTTTTGACACATTTATTGCTCATTTTGTAATATTTGCGTCAACATTTACATCGCGTGTTGAGAATTCTGTTATCTGAGAACGCTGATAACGCGTGGCCGGCGGTGCTTGGCTTTGTCTGCATGCGGGTGCCCCCGCGTCAGCTTCCGCGCGAGCGTTCATAGCGCGTCGCGTTTTCGCGTGCAGAAAAACGCGCCATGCGGTCTGCGCTTAACGCTATACATATTTCGAGTGCTTATCGGGCGGGCCGAAAATGCCCGAGGCACTGGGTTCTGAGTGCATGGGCGCCGTACACGCCAACAAGCGGCTCTTACGTCACGCCGCTTTGGTGGCGCTGCTATTGGCAACGCGCATGCGCAGACGCAGCACTTCAGGCGAATCTGGTTCCGCGCACGTGCAGCGCTTACGCCTCGTGTGTTGGTAAGCAGCATCTCGTAGCCTATAATATTCCGCACAAAAATAGCTATTTCGCACGATCAGAACACGTTTTACAGACCAAAAAAACGCAATCGAGTTTAAACGTTGACCACGTGCCGCCTACACTATGTGGACTAAGCGTCCATGCTATGAGAATATGGGTATGCAGTTTTTCCAGCTTGACGCCCTCTCGTCAAAGAGGTTTAGTCGGTGTGTCAGTCAGCACTATCGCAAACCGCTTGCTTTCGCTACCGCGCGACTGTCGCTCGGACACTAAAAATTTGTCGCGTGACTGGTGATAGCCGCGAAAGAGGTGCCTACCACGAAATTTTTGAGTAAATCCATATTCACGAACGCGAAATGATTGTAGGATGTTCGTTACGCTGAATTCGTATGACATATTCGGGGGTATCTCGCGAACTTTTTAATGCGAAAGCATTAAATATCTCATGGAGCGAACCGACGTTATCAGCATTTGAAGCCGCGTCAAACAGCACCTAAACTTCCTTGTCCCATGAAGCGAAGCCTGTAGTGTGTCGCAGCCACCCCATTGGCTGGCGCGCGGCGCAGTTCCAAGGAACGCCACCCCACAGAGAAGCCCTCTCCATGGCGCAGCGGGCCCGGCCGCCGGTAAAAGGGAGCGGCCGGCCGCAGAGCCAGCAGAGCAGGCCCGCGCAGTCTCCGGCGAGGCCGGAAGGCCGAGCTCAGTGAGGCGCACAGCTTATTGGAATACTCTACGTATACGAATGCATTCCGACGCGTTAACAATCTTAAATGTATTTGTAATTTTTTTTTTACAATTAACATGATTGAAAACATCGTTCAGTTACTTCGTCGCAACGACCAACGGATATTCCTTTTTTTGTCTGTGTGTGTGCTCTCGGCAGACGTCTTATATTCAAACAAAAAAAAAATATTTTTCGAACTGCTTGTTTCTGCACACGGCACGGTTGCTGGATACATGGATGCCCGGAAGCAGCGACAACGATAAAAATTGAACCGACCGAGGGGCCCTGCTCATCATCTGGTAAGGCCCAGCAAGGTCTTTGCCTATGAATAAGCACTTGCTTATTTTTTGCAACGTCGAAGGAAAGACGTAGGCGAGCGCAGAAGGAACGGTGCATATTTGTGCATTCGAAGCGGCCACTGAAAACATGCAGTACCAGTGAAGCGAGAAAAGCCACTTTTGTCTATATCTTTTTTTTCTTCTTGTTTTGTTAGAATGGATGTTCTTCAAAAACATGTTATTCTCTGACGGAGAATTCTGACTTGCAAGGGGCTGTTTAGGAGGTCACTAGTAAACATGAAATGCAACGATGGCTCGGTCAATTATAATAGAAAGCGCATTTTTAGCGGCAAAGGCACACATTTCTTATGTTATTTACTTTCATTATTTTATCAAAAACTCATACGTCAGTTATAAATATGACGTCTTTATTCTAAGTGTATGTTTCTATATTTTATTCGCATTGGAGCACTCATAAAAACAAAGAGTCCGTTTTATTCACCACCCAGAAACAACCATTCATCTTGATACAAGCATTCCAAAACAAAATCCTACAGCGCACTCAGATAATATATACATCAAAATTTATGGAAAGCAAAATCTAAACCAAGCCTTTAAATTAAATTTACGCTAATTGCACTGTGAAAGTACTTGTGTCTAATAAATACGCGTGTGAGCATACAAAAGAGGTTACACTTTCCTAATCAGCACAAAAAGAACAGAAGGGTTTGATGAAAATCTTATGGTGAATTCCGTTCGCAGATCTCGAGCGCTCCAAAAGAACTCCATTTGGAGCGCGCATATTCCGCACGCAGATCTGGCTCAAGTTGGTCATCTTCCGCTCGTAGATTTCTGGCAGCGCCCGCTCCACGGAGCGCCCCAAACTCCGCCGAACTTGCTCTGCGGGATTTGACAGATCTCTCCGGAGGTTGACAGAGCGGCCCACGTGATTTCCGTCTAAATCGGCGGTGCGCATGCGCGGCGAGGTTGGAGAGATCGGCGGGCCGCCGGGCCGGTCGGGCCACGGTCGGATCGTGGAGTTGGATCTGTTGGGTGCGTCGGTTGTTTACTCTGGATTGTGACGGCTCGAACGCTTCTACCTCGCGTAGATCAGGGATAAAAAGCCCGGAATGTGGAGCGTGGCAAATCGTAAGCGCTGACATCTGTGATCGTGAGAGGAAGAACGACAGAAAAGCCGGAGGCAGACGCAAGGTTAGGCCTACTCATTCTGCTGCCAGTGATTGTTTACCTTTTTACACTGCATTCCGTCGGCGTTTTCCCGTGAAATAAAGCAAGAGGTAGTTAGGCAACGACCGCGCAAGTGATGATTTGTTACCTCCGTGTTTATTAAAGTCGTACTAGAAATCTGAACTCCACCGCTGGCAATCGCTGTCCGTGCACCGCCGCTTCGAGGCGGCCGAAAGGTATGTGACGCAGATGTGACGGTGCCGAACGCGGACGTCTTGTCCGCGTTCGGCGCCGTCACCGTATAATTGCGGTGACGGCGCAGAAGCCTGACATGGGCGCCGTGGTACGTATAATTTCACCCGGCCTGTGTCGCGTGTTACTTTTGCAGCTAAGCAGTGACAGTCGTCACTGGTCGTCGGAAAGATCAGCCGGCTGAGGCGTTGGTGGGCTGGTCAAGTTCGAGCAGCGGCCATTTTGTACGGCGTAGGGAGAAGGGGTGAGGAGGGGTGTGGGAGAGGTCGCTCCAAAAATGCAAGTTTATCTTCCCCTCGTCCATTCGGAGCGGGTCCCACGGAGCGGAATTTCGCCTCCCTCGCGGATTTTCGAAAGCGCTCCAGATCTACGAGTGGAATTCACCATTAGATCTGTGCGAACCAATTTTATTGCTAATAAAGTACGAATATTACAATTTCAGTGCTAGTCAAATTCAAATGTTTTAATACGAATATTTTACAATTAATATGAATTCGGCATGAATTATTTCAACAAATCTTGTCTGGAAATATTTTCGGAAAGCGTGTCAATGAAAAGGAACAACAAGGAACAAGACAAATTACTCTCATACTTGTATTAAAAGAAAAAATAGGTTCTGAGTAAAGCAATATTCGATTGTGTGCTTGTTTAGATACCGGCGAGTCAGTTAACTCCAATGGGTGTCTAATATTTCGGCTGTAGGTGAGAAATGTAGCCAGCGCTGTACAACTCCTGGTCTTGGGTCTTTAACGTGCGTCATGCAGTGATACACGAACGCACACCGACACGATGCTCATCTGGAACTCAAACAGGCAGATATTGAAATGGAACCCAGGATACCTGCGTTCTGCAGCACGGGCGTTCACTCCATTTTTTTTTTTTTTAATTGTGTAAACCAGTAAACAACATTCCCCTAAATGAACGGCAGGAAGAAACGGTGCCTACCATCTGGAATCGCTTCAACTAAATCTTTGATTATTCACCCAGTCAACGCGAAACGTGCGAGGCCCCCTCACCATCGAGGTTTCTTAAATCTTGTAACTCGGTGAATCTTGAACGTCCCAAAAACGAGGTATACACCTGCTATGAATTACTACCGTTTATAAGTTTGAATTGGCGGACACAAAGAATTGCGCATGATATGTGATACGCTTCTTAGCGAGCGATTTTAAATTTATAAAGGATTCTTGGTAGAAATTGTATAGAACAAATTAATCAATCGCCTGAATTGCCCGGGACATGGCCGAAAATTTTAGAAAGTGTGAACATTTTTCCTTGTCTTCCGAGCACAAGTCGCGATGTCATGAACTTCTTTGCCACGTATTCGATGCGGGAGGAGCTAAGCGTCACTGGCTGACTCAATGTAGCTAA